TTATATGACAAAATACCTATCGTATCCCATCCAATTCGAGTACTAGGCATAGCCTATGTGTTTTAGGGGGACTGGAGTCCTCTTGCCTTCTTTTTTTGCACTGTGATATGGTTTATAGACTTTAGTCTGGGCTTTTTGTCACTTTTGGCATGATAAAGGTTTCATCTCCTTCCTTAGAGTGAGGGACATGGGGAAAGAAGGAAAGCTAAGGTGCTTCGAACATTGTGGATTAATGGATGCTAGGGTTGGGGTCCGATGCTAGAATTCTCCAAGATTGTTAGTTTCCTCACCTTGGGGACAAATTTGGGTTTGTTTGCCTCTTTATGGGCTAAGGCTCACAGGTTCTTTATGGTTGACTCTTTGGCTATTTTAGGGGAATTCAGGTGCAGTTTCAGGATATCTCTTTTCTTGTTCTTCGAGGAATAGAGAGGCAATAATAGTTCGACGTGCCGGTCAGATGCTGCATCCTTTCGTAATTTGGTTTTGTTCGGAGTTCTTTTTTGTGAAGACTCTGGGAGAACATCTTATTCTTTGCTCTTTTATTGTTTCATTTTGCATGTAATAAAATTTCTTTTTCTATCAAAAGAAAGAATGCAGTTCTTTCATCCTTGATGTTTGTCCTTCTTTCTCCTTTATCTAATAATACTTATTTCTTTCAATGAAAAATAGTAACAGTTTTTTTTTTTCAATTTCATCACAAATGTGAATGTGCTATTTTTGTTTGTGCTAAGGATTGTATCTTGTTATGCATACCATGCCATCTTTGCTTCCTTAAAGTTTATCTTAGCTTTATTATCTTTTTCACATTAAATTCAAGTACCTGTATCCAATTTATGGACTCTGATTGAGTGGCTTGCCAGTACATTTGGCTACAAAAATGGAGTTAGATCCATGCTTATACCATACCCTTGCACCTAAGTTCGAGCAATGTAGCCCACATAAAATTAGCAACATTAGTACTGTATATTATGCGGTTCCTTATTGTCTCTCAAATTAATTCTTCTTCAACATGAAAGTATTTAATGCGGTCCTTTTCGTCCAGGTTATGTTAGCGTTATTTATTAGGGGTTGAGTTGACTTTTTTGTTTATGCTATTTAGACTTTATTGTTGCACATCTCATGCTATTTGTCTCTGATGCACTGTTTTCCTTCTTTATATTTTCCAGCCAAAAGGTCAGGAGGTAGATGTGACAAGGAATGATCTTTCAAGGGCTCTAATGGTGTGTGCTTTTGTTTAAACTTTTGCTAATTGTTTACTGGTTGTCTAGAAATTTCACTAGAGTTATCTTTGCTCTATTGTTCCTTCGTTGTAAATTATGGACTATCAATTCTACGGGGGAATTATTTGGTTATGTCAAAATTTATTTTCCTTTCGAAAAATATAGGGTAAGTTAACATATCATCGCCTATAGTTTGACAAATTGCAATTCAAATCGTTTAACTTCTTTGTGAGAGTTTTACAATTTATATGTTGGCTTTTTGTTATTTTATATAAATTATTAGTTTTAAAAGTTATATTATAATTTTATGGTGCTTTCCCTAATTTGATTGGTTAGTGTAGAATTTGGAGAAAGAATATAATTTTATTTCTCATTTTTTAGATGGTTACATTTAGAGTATTTATAAAATTCCTAACTTACTAATAAAGAAATTTTTATTTTAATAGAATTTTAATAATATGAAATTATTATTCTCATATAATTCTAATTATATAATACTAAATAATTAAATAATTAACTAATTAAATAATAAAATAAGAAAATATGGTATTCAACACCTCCCCTCAAGTTGGTATAGGGATATCGCACATGCTCAATTTGCAAATTAAGTTTTAAAGAGTTATCATGCAATCTATCAAACACGTACGCACACTCAACTCAGCTCAAACGGCTCGATTCGTCTCAAAACAGCTCAGCCTGGCTCAAAACGGCTTGATCCGGCTCAAAATGGCTCGGTTTGGCTCAAAATGGCTCAGACACTACTCTAAAACGGCTCGAAGTCACCTAAAAAAATAGTTCGAAGTCAGCTTGGCTCGTCTTTTTCGGAAAGATCTCTGAATGTGCGCAGAAAAATGGAATGAGGTGG